ATGGGTTGTGGAGGTCATTAATAGTTTTTTTGGTTTTGGTACTGGGAATTGAACTCAGGACCTTGCACTTGCCAGACAGGCAAGTGTGCCATTGAGCTGTATCCCCGGCGTGTGTGTGTGTGTGTGTGTGTGTGTGTGTGTGTGTGGTCATTAGTGGCTGCTGGAGCTTTTGGAACACAGAGGCATGGTGAAGAATGTGGGCTCTGGTGCTGGAAACGGGTCTGAATCCTGATTCCTCCCCTTCTGAGCCAGATGGCTGGGAAGGGACCTCATATCCCTGTCTGTGTGCCACGAGGAGGAAAATCCTCAGATAATTCAATACATTGTGCAGTGCAGGTTGTTATGTATTCATTCATGGAATTTTTATACCTATGGAGTGTCAGGGACTTTTCCAGGCTTTGGGCAGTCAATGGGAAATTACAATGGAACAGACAGGAACCCCGGCCCTCAGGAGGCTTATCTCAGTGGGAAGCAGTCAGCAGACAAATGCTGGGCAGCCGAGAACACATCAGCTGATGATGCTTTGGAGAGAATAAACACACTCGAGTTGTGGGCCAGGAGCCCCTGGGTGCAGGGATGCTCTGAGAGGTGCCATCTATCGGGTTCTGTCCTAGATCCCCGATCTCCCAAACGAGTGTATGGTGGAGGTTAAATAAAAAAAGACAAATTGTATGATTTTTAGGGCTCCAGGAGGATCAAAACCCTTGAATTAAGCTCGAGGCTTCGAGGGTAAAGACAAAGGATTCTCTGGATCAGTCCACTCGGAGAAACTGAGGAAAGTGCAGGCAATGAGCAGGACCTTGGGAGTCACTTCAAGGACGTCTCCAAGTAATGAATCAAGTCAATTCAGTAGCACTGTCTTATCATGAAGACATGGTAGAAGTGAGACTGTAGGAGTAATCTTTGCAGCTGCAGTCTCTACCTTGTTAGTTGGGGTTGGAGCCAAGGTGTCCCCAGCTGTGGCCTTCTCTTGCCCTTTGAGGTATCTCTGGCCTCACAGGCCACTACAGGCCTCAGCCAGGCCCAGTGATTCATAGAGGTTCACTTACTATGAATCAGCTCCTGTCACCAGGCAAGGGGCCGAGGCCTAGGACGGACTCACAGATAAACATAGAAAGCCAATTAGTAAAATTTAAATGCTGCTCAGAGCTGTTTTGCTTCATAATAGTCTGCAACAGCCATCTGAACAGGTGTGACTGCAAAGACTCCTTGGGGAAAAGGAAATGCAAAGGCCCTGAGGCAGGACTGTGCTCTAAATGTTTGCAAACCCACAGGAGAACAGTGTGGCCAGACTGGAGGGGTTGGGGGGAGGCCGGACATTGAGGGCAGACAGAGTTGGGCTGAGGGCCGGGGATTTAGCTCAGCGGCACAACACCTGCTTGGCAAGCACAGGGTCATGAGTTTGACTCCCGGTGCCAAAAAGAATTTAAAAAGCTAAAGTGTTGAGGTGGAGTGGGGAGGTCTCAGGGGCTACTAAGGGACTGAGGCTTTTACTGTGAGTGACACAGGAGCCTTGGAAAACTTCTGAGTAGATGAAGGACATAAGCTGACTTGGAGGTTAACAGGAAGCCATGAGGAAGCAACTGCTCCATCAGGTAGGAGGTGATGCTGGTCCTGGGGAAGATCTGAAGGCCGCCTGTACTCCAGGCTGGGCCCCCTGCATCTGACTCCAGGACCTCTGCTTGTCACCAGGACCCACGCCAAGCATGTGCCGATCTGACTTCAGATTTGCAGGCTGCTTAGGTGAGCTTGGCACCTGGCCCGGGCTTACTCATTCCGGGTCAATGACCATGTTTGGTTTTGTTCTGCACATTGCTGTTGGCATCATGAACAATATTAGTTCCTGGTTCTCAGAGCTCTGGGAATGCCCTTTCTCTGTGCCGGTCTGAAAAGGAAAAAGTCCAGGGGTGGAGTGCAAAGAGGAGGCCAAAGTTCCCTCCTTGTCGCTGCCTCGTCCCTCTGGGGAGTCACCGTCAGCCGTCGCCATAGTGCGTGTGAGTTTGCCACAGGGTGGGAGGGAAGAGACCGGAGGTGCCAGGGCTGCAGTCGGAGTGGAGGCTGCATCTGTGTGGGAGCCCGGGAGCTGGCCGGCCTGGCGCGCCGTGGCCAGGGGCTGTGACTCATGGGCCTGGCTAACTTACGCAGCCGCTGGTGGACAGGAGTCCTGCTCCCAGGTGAGGGTCCTACTTCCTGCCGGTGGGGTGGGCGGCTGGAGGGTGCTGCGTGTGTCCACTTCGTCAGTGGTGTGTGTGTGTGTGTGTGTGCACGCGTGTGCACGCGTGCGAGAGGGACAGAGAGACAGAAGTGAAGGCAGATGTCAAAAAGGAGGCGCAGAGGCAGAGGCAGAGGCACAAAGAGAGATGGAGAGAAAGAATGAAAATAACAGCAGAGACGGTACCAGAAGAAAGAGCAGGATGAGAGGATGAGGGCCGGGCGTGAGGGTGCACACCTGTGATCCCAGCCCCCAGGAGGCTGAGGCAGGAGGGCTGCTGTAAATTTGAGGCCAGCCTGGGCTACAAAGTGAGCTAAAGGCCAGCCTGAACTGCGTAGAGATGCCCTGTCTCAAACAAAACAAAGCAAAAGCAAGACAAATCAGAACAAGCCCGGAGAGATACAGGAGTCAGAGGGAGACAGACACAGCACAAAAATAGCACCAAGAAACTCAGAAACAGATTCAGAGGGAGGGAGGAGGGGAGAAACAAATGGAGGGAGAGCTGGAGCACAGCAGATGGACAGACAGATGACAGACAGGCAGGATTGAGGCAGGCAGAGGGAAGACGTGCTGACCCGAGAGGGCCACCCATCAGGGAGGGATGGATATGCAACTCATGCCTCAAGAACACCCGAGACAAAAGGGAGAGACTAGCGGCCATCGTATAAGAAAGGCACTTTGCAGTGGGAAGGACTGAATTTGCACTCGGTGGCGGCCGGCAGAGGTGAGCTCAGCCCAGCCTCACCGTGTGACCCCGGGGCAGCTCCTGCTCTCTGGGCGGGAGCTTCATGGTTGAGTGGAAACTGTAGACTTCATGGTCTTCCTGGAGGCCGAAGGTTGACAGCTGTGTCTGCACTTTCTCTGCAAGCTTGGCCTCTGCCTACGGACAGAAGTCAGGCCCAGGAAGAGGGGAGAGGAGAGGAGGGGCAGGTAGGGTCTAGGAGAGGAGGCTTCCATCAGGCAGCTCTGATGATGAGACCTGCCGTGCTGGGGTGCTGCCTCTCACGTTATGGCATTTATCCCTACGACAGTTATTTGAGACTGGAACCATTTTTCCTCTCTGTCTGTCTTAGTTACTTTTCTTGTTGCTGAGACAATACCTGGCCCTTGAAGTTAAAGGGGAAAAGGTTTGTTTGGCTCACAGTGTATGGAGGTTTTGGTCCATCACTGCCTGGCCCCAAGGTAGGATCACACATGGCAGCGGGACAACTGTTCGTGGCAGTGGAATACAGCAAGAGCAGAGAAAGGAGCGCAAGCCTGTTTACCCCCTTATATTGTACGCAGACCCGCTGCCTAGGGTGGGCGTAGCACTCACACCCCTAATCCCAGCACTAGGCAGCCAGCCAATCACAAACTCTAGATTCAAGGCCTCTGAAAAGCCTGCCCTGTCCTACGACCGACTGCATGAGGCTTTGGGGGGACATCCAAACACAAACCATAACAGTCTACAAATGGGGAAACAGATTCAGAGGACACAGTTTGCCCACAAAATTGTGACAAAGTTGGGGGTCAAATCCAGGCTGTTACTCCAAGGTTAGACAGTAACCCTGAATGCCAGTGACACTGGAGATGGAGAAATACAGATGCCATCACTGCTGCCACCTCCCTGGTCATCACGGTGACTGAACCCTGGCTGTGAGGCATTTTAGGCAGGTCACATCTGGGGTGTCACTCATCTCACACAACAACCCAATGAGCTCGGTTCTCCTATGAGGATTTGGAGACACGGAGGCTCTCGGAGAGAGCTCCTGCCCATGACTATGTCAACATCAAGGTCCGCGTGTGCTCAGACACCAGGGAGCCATTGTCTTACACCACTCACTGGCAGGAAGTGGGATTGCGCTTGGCCCAAGTGGGAGTCTTCTGAGGGGTACAGAGGGGTGTGGTGGCTTCTCTGGATCAGGTGACAGAGAGATAAGGGTGACCAGCTCAGCTGCGCATAAGCGTGGATGCTAGGGCTGGGTTCCCACTTGCCCAAGCCCAGCCTCCATGACGGTGTGCAGAATGACCCCACGGGAAGCTGGGAACCACTCCTTCTTCCCCTTACTTCCCATCCCAGGCACCGTAAATATCAGTATCTGAGAGCAAATCTGGGGCAGTGTGGAAGGCTCAGCTCCCCCACTGGAAGTTCCTGTTTGTCAGGTTTTGCTCTGTGCCCATCTCTGGGTTGACGGGAAATTACACCCTGCTGCTAGTCCAGCCTTTGAGGCCAAAAAGCCCAGCTTCAAACTCAGCTCTTATCACTTATTATGTCGATGCGGATTTGGGGGAACTGCTTTGTATCTCCAATAGAGTAGAAATGGCTAAAGGGAACACAGAGACTCCGGCCCAGTCGAGGCCTGCCAATATCCATAAATTCTTCTCTGACTGTATGGATCCCCTCCCCTTTTTTTGAGACAGCATCTCAGTACGCATTTCAGGCTGGCCTTGAATTCACTTTTTAGCTCAGGCTGGCCTCAAACTCACAGCAATTCTCCTGTCTCAACCTCCCAAGTTCTGGGATTATAGTCACTAACCACCATGCCCAATTTCCCAATATTTATCACCCACCCAATAACCCTAGGATGCAGGTAATTTTAGACTCATTTTACAGATGAGGAAACTGAGACTCAGGGAGAATAGAGGCATGTCTCACATGGCCTTAAGGAGAGGTCAGGACAAGTCTTGAGGATGGAACTCCACGTCTGTAACCTCAGATTTCTCTCCATTTCTGCAAACTGTAACTGGCCACCATAATTGGTCCCAACTGACCTGCCCCTCCCTGAACACTGCTCCTCTCTCCTTCCAGCCTCACTGTTGACCACATGGACTCTTCCAGCTGCAGCCCAGATTGCCCTGCAGGCCAGTCCACATAACATCCGACGTGAGGAATTTGTCTTTATTTGGGATCCCTGAGCACTCCAGACTGGTGGCAGATTCAAGGGGTGGGCACAGAAAACCAGCCTGTCATTCTGATCTCTGCCTCCCCAGAGATCTACTGGGTTGTGCATCCCAAGTCCTGGGAGGACACACTTGACTGGCCCAGCCAAGGCCTGACAATGACTGGCCCAGTCAGTGGTCCTGGGGAGCAAAGGGTGGACTGTGGCTGTCATGGCAGTGGGAAGGAAAGAAGGCTCCAAAGTGGGTAGGGGGTGCCTGCTGGCATCTTTGTTGTGAGCTTGATGCTTTTTGAGGGTGATGATGATTGTACCTTCTCGTGGTCCAGACCCTCTGCTTTACTTGTCCAGGAGGCCTAGAGATGGGAAGGGAGTCGATCAAGCCCACCTAGAACAAGCAGTAGTCCACCCTGTAGCCCAGGCACTCCGGCTCCAGACTGTCCTCTGGGCCTGCCGGTCTCCCCCTGTCTCTCTGGATCCCTTTGTAACTATGTCTTGTTCATCCTCTATCCATGTCCCTGCTTCTGTTTCCCTCTCTTGCAACCTTCCTTTGCAGAACTGAACAAGCCCACCATTTCAACCAGCCCGGGCACTGTCATAGAGCACAAGACAGTGGTAACCTTCTACTGCAGCACCCCAGATGTCAGTGTCAAAATCTACTGGGTCTTCAACAATGTGCCTCTCGTGCCCAACGAGCGCATGCAGCTGTCTGCAAATGATACGACCCTCACCATCCTCACTGTGCAGCGGGAAGATGCCGGGGTTTACCAGTGTGAAGTCTGGGGTGAAGGAGAGATCCAGAGCAGCAACATTGTCCTCCTGGAGGTGAACTGTGAGTCTCCTTCCATTCTTCCCAACCTACTCCTTGGAGCCTTGTTCAGTCTCACAGCTGCAAATCCCATCTAAATCCAGACGTGTCTGCCTTTGAGCCCTAGATATGTAACTGTTTGATATCTCTGCTCTGATTCTACCAGAAACACACAATTAATGGATCTAAACCTGATCCCAGATGTTTTTGACCCACATTCTTGCCTGGGTAGGGGGAGCAAAGAGATGGTACACTTTAGATGCGTTTCCCAGTTCACCAAGGAACAGGGCTGACATTTAACCTCCTTTGCAATTGGCCTAGAAGCTGAGCGGGGAGGGGAAATGTAGTGGGTACTGTAGTGGGTACCAAGATCCTTTGTAGTGGGTACCAAGATCCTTTGTAGTGGGTACTGATTCCAAGATCCTTTGTAAAAGAGATGCTGCTGATGCTAGTGTTCTTGTCCTCCTAGATGGTCCTGACCCTGTTGAGATCAAGGTGGAGTCGGGTGAACTCAACGGGGAGGTTGTTGAGGTGATGGAGGGCTCCACCGTGAAATTCCACGCAGAAACACAGAGTCACCCCGAGGCCACCTACACCTGGTATCTCCCCAATGCCTCTGTCCTGGATCTTACCACGAGAACATTTACCATTCCTGAAGTGTCCAAGACAGATGCGGGCATCTACAGGTGCCTGGTGTATAACAGTGTCACCAGCCTGTCCCAGATGGGTGCTCTTAAAGTCCAAGTCCTTGGTGAGTCTTCCTTGGGGTTTCCCCTCCTGGTTCCCCGAGAATCAGAGGCTGTCACATCCAAAAGGAACGAGAGCTTCACCTGGGGCTTTTGGAATTCTGTGATCCCTGGATGAGTGTCCAAGTTGCACATGAAATGTTTGTGCTGTGTTCCAGAGACAGGGTCAGTGGCTGCCATGAGATTTTCAAGGAGGGCTGGGACCTGCAACGCATGAACACCACTGAGTTATACCAAGAGCCCAGTGTTAGAGGGCAGGGATTTCCTATTTGGCTGGTGGCTAAGCAGGCACTGACCTTGGGGAAGAACCTGGCATCTGGCTTGGCATGTCCTCCGTAAGACTGCAGGCTCACCACGGTGTCCAGGGGCCGATTCCCTGGAAGCCATGGGACTGGCTGTCTGTACGTACAAACACTAACACAACACTTCCACCAGATACACACAAGCAAATAATCACATGTGCATGGCACACTTGTATGTTTAGAACATCACACAACACAAATCCAGGCACCGTACACTCAAACTCACGACACATGCAGCCTGTACATTCATAACACATGGGTATCACATCCGAGGCAGTAGAACACAGACACACATAGCTTACATAGATTACACTACAATCATGGACATTACATGAAACACTCCCACATGAAGCGTATATTCTCATCACATGCTCATGATGGACACACGCCATGCACACAGATCACAGACACTTAACATCCATCTAGCATCGCAACCAGTCAGTATCACAGAGACTTCTGAAATGCTGCACAGAAAACACACCATAGGCCACACGTTCAGCATATGTAATATACGACTGACAAAAATACGCACAGGAAATGGATACGCATACCACACATAGCAACTCATAAGCAAAGCACATGAGACAACACATAATGCGTGTATATTTCATGTACAATACCACATACATAGGACACACGCTCGCGTACAGAAAATACATGCATCACATACACACACACAAAGTGTACACAAGCATGTATACCACCTAGCTCACGTTCTCAGAACACGTTCAGCAGATGTAAATACACGGACCACACACACAGCATACACCCTTCACCCACACAAAGCCCATAACATATTCACACCATCATTAAAAAACACACACTCATCCACCGAAGACCTCCACGCCTCACATACAGCACACGCCTTTCCAAAGCGCACACCGCCCACAGCACACACAGGGGCCCCGTGGGAAACCCCCACTGGGTTCATGGGCAGCAGTGACCCTTGAACCTGGCCCCATATACACTCCATGTGCCTCTAGGAAGTCTGACCAAGCCTCAAGTGGTGTCCCTGAGCCTGGATTTCGTGGAGAACACCAACTCCACGACCCTGACCTGCCAGACCCTCAACGAGGAGGTCGGCGTCCGCTGGTTCGTGGGGGGTCAGCCCCTGCTGCCCAGCGAGCGCCTGGTGCTGTCAACCGACAACAGGACCCTGGAGATCCGCAGCCTCTGGCGGGACGACTCGGGCTCCTACCAGTGTGAGATCTGGACTGGGGCCTTGCAAGCATGGAGTGACCCCTTCGAGCTGACCGTCAGCTGTGAGTTGCTGGGTTCTGGAATCTCTCTTCCTCCCCCTCCCCCATACCCTTCAGGTTCTCCTGGTTCATCTTGCCCTCACCCTGCTGTGCCAGGTGTAAATGTGGGCACCGTAAATGACCTAGTGCCTGCCCTTAGGGGGCTTCATTTGTAGTGGAACAGACAGGCCATTAACCGATGGCAGGAGAGTCTAAGGCTATGGAGAACTGTGAGGCCTGGCAGGGGACAGGAGGTACCCAGAACGGGAAGGTGTGGTCGCCTTAGCCAGGGGTCAGGGATTTCCTGAGAAGCTAATGTTTGTGCAGACACTGAATGAGATGAGGGCAGTTCTGGGAGGCCGAGGCAGGAGGACTGCAAACTCAAGCCCAGCCTGGGCAACTTAGTGTACTGGGTAGAAGAGACTTAAATGCCTTCGTTCCAATGCAGAAGGAATAACCAAACACAGAAAGCAAAAGGTGCACCGTGGAAGCAGAGGGGGCGACAGGGGGTGCATGCTCTGCCCGCAGATGGCCCGGATTCTGTGCACATCACCAAGGACTCTGTGTCTGGGGCACTCGGCACCGTGGAGGTGAAGCTGGGCTCCAACCTGACCCTGCAGTGCTGGGCTGAGTCCCAGCCAGGTGCCGAGTATCACTGGAGCTGTGAGCACCCCGGCTGGTACTACGCAGGGGCACAGCTGGTCATCCAGACTGTGACCTGGGGGCACAGGGGCGTCTGCAACTGCACAGCCTACAACACTCAGACCAGCCTGGCCCTCTCTGCCTCTGTCCTGCTCAGCGTGGTAGGTGAGTCTCGGGGTGCACCTTCCCCTGGGATCCAAGAGGCCTTCCCAGTGCCAGCTCAGCCTCCCCGTGTCCCCGTGCCAGGGGCTGGAGTGTGACAGAGCGTGGACTGTGCAGATCAGGTCCCAGGCCAGAGCCATTGAATCCTCATACTCCCTAATGCTTGGGCCTGTGGCCTCTCCTTCCTGGGCTGGACCGAGCCTCAGTTTTCCTTCCTGTAAATGAGGGTTATAGCTCTGGCATGGTGGCGCACACCTGTAAATCCCAGTGCTTTGGGCAGCTGAGGCGGGAAGATCACAAGTTCAAGCCCAGCGTGGTCAACTGGGTGAGACTATACTCTCAAAGTGAAAAATACAAGTCAGGCACGGTGGTGTGTGCCTGTGATTCCAGCACTTGGGAGGCTGAGGCAGGAGAATTGCTGTGAGTTTGAGGCCAGCCTGGGCTACATAGTCTCAATAAATAAATAAAAAGGTTAGGGATGTAACTCAGCACAAAGGCCACGGGTTCAACCCCCAGTATCAGAAAGTAAGGAAGAAAATCAGAGGTTTGTGACGTCTACCTTTCAGAGTTTCTTAGGAGGAAAGTCACAGATCCAGTGAGCTGAAAGCATCACTGGACGCAACTTTCAAGGGTTCTCTGTACTTCTGCACTGCGTTCACGAGAGGGCAGCAGAGTATCACTGTTCATCGCTGTCCTCATCCTGGCTTTAGTGCCTATTAGCTGTGTGATCCCGGACAAGTTCCTTAACCTCTCTGGGCCTCTGATGGATTATCTGTAAAGCAAACATAATAATTGTGCCTATTTTTAAGGGTATGGAGGATTAATTAACATTTGTAAAGTTCTCAGAGCTCTTCCTGGTGAACTGTGCTTGTTAAATTAATCAAATTATCCTTTACTGAGTCTGCGCCCTATGCCAGAGCCAAGCCTCCCGGGTGTAGATCAACAAGCCCTTTGTGGGTTTTCTCCCTTTTAGGTTCTCTCAGCCAGGTGGGAGGTGATCCCCCTGGTACCTTCACTCTGCAGCGGGAGAGTCTGAGACCCAGAGACCCTGGTTCTGTCTTTGGTGTTTGACACCAAGGCTGGTGACCTTATAGCAGTGGTTTTGGTCATCCACGGAGCTTAGGACCTTAGTAGCTTCTCAGGTCATCTCTTTGAGTCTTCAGAACAGTCCTTAGGTCTTGGGACAAAGGTTTAATGAGTGAAATGGGCTCAGAGGAGGAAGCCACAAGTTACAGAGCATGATTGGTGTCTGCAGCCACTTGCTGAGTTTGAAGGAGATCAGGTACGAAGGGATCAGGGTGCTCGGACCTTGCCAGGAAGCAGCTTCTACTTTATTTTTAATTTTTTAAACTAGAGGTGGAGCCCAGGGCTTCATTCTTGCTAGGCAAGTGCTCTACTACCCGAGTTACATCCCCTGCCCCTTTTTATTTTGAGATAGGGTCTCACTAAGTCTAAGTTTCACAGATTGAACTCAAACTTGTGATCCTCCTGTTTCAGCCTCCCAAGCAGCTGGGATTATAGGTGTGCACTAATATACCAGGCTGGCCATCATCTTTTATTGAGCACCTACTATGTGCCAGGCTCTTGGCCATTACTTTTGTGCACGAGCTCATTTAATCTTTGGCTCCCTCTGAAGTCTATAGGATTATATAAAAGGATGTTTTTTTGACACATAAAGAACTAGAAACTCATGGGCCAGGGATTTAGCTCAGTGGCACAAGCACCTGCCTGGCAAGCACAAGGTTGTGAGTTCGATTCCCAGTACCACACATATACACAAAAAGAGCAAATGTAAAAGAAATAGAAACTCAGGGAGTAAGTCTAAGCTCCAGAGGCCTCACATGAAGTCCTTTCCTGACCCGTGAAAGCAGACCCCCTTCCTCATCCCCCAACCCTCCTCACGACTGCCCTCTTAGTCCTGAAGACTACATTTCACTCTCTGAGAAAAGCTGAGCAAAAGCAGAATTTAAAACCCGTAGGCCAACATTAGTGCAAACAATTGCTATCAGAGACCAGCGGCTCTGTGCCCGGAATGAGCAGCTGTGATGGCATCTCACTCTCAGGACAGCCCATCCCAGGCCAGCTCGCCTCGGTCTGCACCTGCAGGAATGAACTCGCTGGTCCAGGGTCACAGGGCCGCAGGGAGCGAGGGGTTTGAGAGGCACGCAGGTTTTTGGCCAGTCACCTTCCATGGGTGCAGACACCATAGCTCTGTCTCTGTCTCTGTCTCTATATCTCTTTGAACACAACATGTTGAACATGAATACATGTATGCTTAGTCTTTCCAGCAGCCCTTTAAAGTAGGAGCTTTTTGTTCCTATTTTATAGAAAAGACACTTGGAACACAGAGGCTAAGTAGCATGCTCAAGGTCACACAGCTGAGATTTGAATGCAGGTCAGCAGAAAGTGGTGTGATTAATGAGCTGCTGATTCACAGAGACTGGAAAAGCAACGCTTTTAAAATATCAGTATCGGTAGAACTATAAGCTGGGCTTGGTGGCACATGCCTGTAATGCCAGCACCCTGGGAGGCTGAGGCAGGAAGATCACAAGTTTGAGCCTAGCCTGGGCAGCTTAAGGAGACCCTGTCTCAAAATTTTAAAAGAAGGGTTCTGGGGTTGTAGCTCAGTGCTAGGGTCCTGGGTTCAATTCCCAGCTCTGCTTGAAAAAGTGACAAATTTAGGGATGGGACTAGCAACAGGAATGAGGCTGTCAGGCCTGGGTCCTGATTCTCTCTTTGCCCAGGTCCCCAGCCATCCTCTCCATCTGCGGGGATCATCGCTGGCACCGTCATTGGAGTTCTGATTGTCATTGCCCTGGTGGCAGGACTGGGCTATTACAGCTGGAAGGCCGGCTGGTAAATACCGCACTGGGACGGGGTGGGAGTGGCCAGCAGGGGGCGTCCAGGCGACCGGGTTGCTGACCGTGGTGCTGAAAGGTGTCTGGCACCCGGGGAATTCAGAATGTTTGGGAATGTTGTCCAAGAAGGTATGGGACGTGGACAGAGCCTGTGGGGATGAGCAGGAACTAACAGCGTGTTTACTGATAATTCGCTTGAAATAATAATTCAGCAAAGAATAAGGAGGCTTTGGGATTCCAGGCTCTCAAGGATATTAGCAGATGATCCGCAGCCGAGGGCCTCAAAATCTACCTTTGGGAGGAAGCACTCTGCAGAGGGCATTTCTGGTAAGCGACCCCATGGCCGATGTCCGGGGACGTGATGAGGCTGGAGAAGAGCTGGGCTGGCTGCATAGTCCTCTCCTCCCAGCTCTGCCACCAGACGACTGTTCGAGGGTGGGCAATCCCTGTCTCGGCCCCCTGAGCCCCAGACCCCCCGTGTCCCCATGGGGAATACAGGAGAGACTGGCACCGAGGATTCTGAGGGGCTTCACCGGCTCCAGGAGCTGTGGGGGAAGAAGGACGCCGTGTGTCTCCTGGCCTCAGAAAATGCTGTCACTGGACTGCTGTAGACATAGCAAGTCCATTGCCACGGCCCTTTCTCAGTAAATCCAAACCCAGTCTCATAATTCATCTCAGTGCAACACCTCCAATGCTGGTTGGGGGCCAACCCAAGGGAAATGGGGGTGTCTTTGCCATCTCTGCATGTGGGATTCTGAAAGGATGAACCTCTTGAGATGGAGGGGCCTGGAGAGATGGTCGGGTCCAGCTGCTTTTCACAGAGGGAGCAACCAAGGCCGAGGGAGGAGGATAAATGACCAATCCCGGGCAGACTATGCAGGACCCCTGGGCAGATTTGGGGCTGGGACTTGGGTTTTTCTGCTCACCCATGTCACCAAACAGCCGAAGGTAGTATAGAAATTGGTTCCCAAAACATTCTGGGATTAAGCTCACCAGAGCCATGGTGAGGGGAGGATTTTCACTGCTTGTTTCCTGAGGATAAGGCCCCTGGTAAGCAGTGCCTTCCTCTGTCTCTTTCTAACTCAGTCTCCGGGCCGGGGTTTGTGTTTCCTCTAGGCTTGCAGGGTCCTTTTTTCGTGAAAACACCTGAGTCCCAGGAACATCCTAAAGTCGGTGAGGTGGGTGAGCTACATCTCCTCCCCAGGGGCATCCTCTCTGAGGACCTTAAGATCTTTCCTGGCTCAGAATTGGAGGGAGGGTGCTGACCAGGGCTCTCTGTTGCTCCTGTCAGCTCTGTGAGCTCCATCTACTCCCAGCCCCCTTCTCTCCAAGTCTTCTCCTGCTAGTCTTGGGTTTCGACATGTCACTGTTCAACCCCTGGGACAAAGAAGGGTAGTAACAACTTTTGAGGCTAAGACAGAGAATCTCTGCGAGTGACCTCCATCCCAGGACCCAGGACCTCTTTACAACTTTGTATTTCCCCAGGTGTTCCGGCCAGCATCCCCAGATGCGCGCTACGAGGTATGTTGGCCCCACTTCAGAGGAAACACACCTGAGCATCACATGTCTCACCAGCCGAGAGGCCACCTTATCTGAGCCTTTCATTGTGCAGGGTGGGGGAGGGAGGGGAGCTGGCTCAGATTGCAGGACTCTGGCCCCCATGTGGTTCCTCCCTCCTCCAGGGCTTGGAATCGGGTTCCCCTGTGGTGGTGCTGGCCCAGTATGGAATAGGGGAAAGGAGGTCGAGAGCAGAGGTTCTGAAGTCAGCAAGAGACAAGAACCAACTCTGGGCCAACGTCGGGCCTGGAGGGTCCTAATGCTCCCTCCATTTCTGATTCCCTGAGAGAAGCTGGGTGGATCTGGCCCTCTCTCTGGCCCGGAAGATGTCAGGTGGCATCTTCCAGGCAGGCTACACTTGTGGACCCACTGCTTTCTCTGTCACTTGCAGAGAGTACCACCTCCAGCCTTCACCTTTGGTCTGCATCCCGAGAACCAATTCCCCAGGGCTTCAGGGGAGCTACAGCGCCCCTCTCTACCAGAAGCAGATGGGGAGTCAAACTACCAGGTATTTTTATGCCATCCTAGTCTAGGATGTGTGGGTAGCTGTCGCTGACCTGCGTGTTGTTCCTGGGCTGCAGAGTCCCGGGATGCACTGTTGACAATGGTGTTTCTGTGCCCTTCCTTCCCTTTCCATCCGTCTCTGTTCCTTTTGCTCTTCCCTTGTTCTGCTTCACTCTTCTCCAGTCCTTTTCATTCTGTTCTCCCTTCATTCCTGTGATCCTCCTACTCTATTTATCCCATTCTTTTAATTTCCATTTTCTTTCCATGCCCTTCACCACTGTTTTGGTTACTTTTACTTTTCCCTCATTGTTGGGACAAAACACCCAAAACGAAGGAAGGAAAGGTTTATTTAGCTCACAGTTTGTGGAGGTTTCAGTCCCTAGTCAGCCGCTCCAAGGCAGGGTCGCGTGGCACTGGGGCAACACTTCAAGGGCAGCAGCCAGAGCAAAAAGGGGAGAAACAAGCCTCTCCTCCCCCCTTACACTGTACACAAGCCACCCTGCTCTCAGATGGGGTGTAGCACTCACAGAATCTCTGTGCCCTCGTCTTGCATGGCGTGAGGATATTTTCAAAGTAAAAATCCTGACTCTCAGCTGAGTCTCCCAGTTAAACTTCTCCAGTTAACACTGCACCAGCCCTAACAACCGCTCTCCCTCTCCTTGCCTGTGTTACTTCCGTCTCTTATTCTGAAACCCCACTCCTTTCCATTTCACTTTGTTCCTCTTGGTCCCATCCCAGACCCTTTCGTTCATGACATTTCGTTCTTCTGGAGGACATGACAGTCCACGCACCCCTTCTCCCTTCTTTTCCACTTCCAAGCTCGTGAAGCTATAAGCAGAATTAAGTCCCTTGGAGCCATCACATGAAGGCCTGTTTCCTGCTGACCGTCAGGGGGAGGCTGTCCTTTGCCCCTTGTCGTGTGTGCCCCTCCATAGGCAGCTCACAGCATCACGTCTTGCTGCTTCGAAACCAAGACGGAAGTCACAACCTTGTGTAACAGAATCACATACATGCAATCGCGTGGCTCCCAATCCTTTGGATTTCCTATTGGTTAGATGGAAGTCACAGGTCCCGACCTGAAGGGAGGGGATACCACAGGGGAACAACCAGGAAGTGGGGATGATGGGGCCACCCTAGAATCTAACAGCAACAGCTTCCAGTGAGACTGAAGTAGACAGTGGAAAAGGAAGATGGTCTTTGGAATTTCCAAGGATGGGGAAGAAGAGTGTAGGTTGTTTGAGCTATAGACTGCAGCCAGCCAGACCCGGAGGGCCCTCCCAGCCAGTGAAGGTCTCACATTTTCTTTTTGTTTAACAGCAACTCATCAACCCAGATGCTGACGTGTACTGCCAGATCAACTTGGCAGGCTAACAGAAGCAGAGACCCTTTCTCCAGAGGCTGAGTGAGACCACGCTAAACCATGCATTCAACGATGTTTACTGAGTGCATATTGTAATACAATCACTGCTTGTTGCCTCTGTAGACTGCGTGATGTTCTATTTCAGTGTGTTGCTCGGCGTCAGGGCTGATTCTAGATTTTAGATTTTCATTTGTTTAAAGGCAATAGAAACCAGTGAAAGTGGCAGCCTTTAAACTAGAAGTTGGGGACCAGGTTTTGAGACTCAGCAGCTGAAGGTTCCGGGATTTCACATGAGCACATGGTGGGTGGCCACAGGAACCAGGCACAGTCTGAGCTGGAGGCACCCAGGGCTGTGTGCACAAGCTCACAAATGTTCCTGCCTAGTGCAGGCATGTGAGACTTCGCCCGCTGGTGATGTGTGCCCACGCGTGTGGAGTGTGGCTAACCAGGGATGCGCTCCCAAAGCTGGGTGTCTGGGTTGCTTTTGGAAGGTCAGTCTTATCGGCATCCACTGCCCATGTGAGTGACCTCAGGGACTGAAGTTCAGAGCCCTAGCAAGAAACCAGGTGTCCTCCATAAAAACTCCTATCTCAACAAACTTGCATAAAACTTGCACAGCCTTGCTCAAGTGCAAAAACACCCTCATCAGTTAGAACACTGTAAGAACTCAGTTCTCAGAAGTCAGCTGAAAATCAGTGAAGCACACAGGCCTTTCTTGGAAATGTGCAGGGTTTGGGAAGCTGGGTCTGCTACACCAAGCCCAAGGAGAGGGGATGAAGACGGGGTGGAGCAGGGGCTGACAGCTGGGACCCGGGTCTCTCCAGTGTTTAAGCAGAGATCAAGCAAAGGAGACGGACGGGACTGAAGGAAACAAGAGGAAACCAAGAACGCAAAACTGTAGAAACCAAGAAGACGCTCCAAAACGGATTGTTAGTCATGGAGCTGTGACAATCAGGGTAACAATAGCAATTCAGATTTTTAAAAAACGAATCACTAGATGGGACGCAGGAGACCAATGTTAAGTTCTCAAATGCTGCACTTGGTAATGCCAGAAACATCTTCTGATTTGAACTCTGGAAGCTTCCCTGCTCCCTGACAAGAGACTTCCCCTCTTCCCCAGGATTCCAGACACAGATTCCGGTCTCCCTCCCCGTAGACACTCTTATGTTTGTCTCTTCCAGTATATGCCGAGCTTTCATCCAGTATATGCCGAGGTTAATGTGACCTCAGCATGAAACTTCAGTCTCCCGGCTGCTCCTAAACAGCTGAAAAGGAAGCCTCTGAGACCAGTGGCTTCCTGGTCCTCCCGGGGGCTGTCCTAAAGTCCCTGTGGTGGTCAGACTAGGCCAGAACTGGGGGATCTTGTGGGTAGACATTATAACCTCGTGAAAGATCCAAAAAGCTAAAGCAAAAGACAGTGAGTTTTCAATTAAACATTGCTAACACTTTATTGCTTGCATGTCTTGAATAAAGAATTAAACAAAACAACTGAAAAGCAGAAAGGAAGAAGAACTAACGAAGCACCCAACTGTGACTTTTGTTGTATTTGTGCTTGTGGATCAATCTGTAAGATATGACATCTTTCCAAAAGAGCCAGGGAGATGGCTTTGCTGTGGGTCTTTTACCTCCAGAGAACCATTTTCAGAATTTCTTACATTTTGTATTTAGCTTGCTGAATTTATTTGTAGGGTCTTTTTTTTCTACCATGAATAAATGTAAATTTTTTTTCTATTTTATTTGCAAACTTGGTGTTACTTTTATAGAAAAAAAGACACTCATGGGTAGCCATGGGGCAATATAATGTAAGAGTTAAAAGCAGGACTCAGGGGCCAGACTTTTTTTGGCTCAAATCCAGCTCTAGCCTAACAATACAATCCAGGGTAAGTTATCTAACATCTTTGGACTTCAATTTCTTTCTCTTTCTTTTCCTTCCTCCTTCCCTCCCTTTTCTTCTGTCCTTCCTTCCTTCCTTGTCAGGTTTGACATTCCCAGTATACAACCTGTTTTTCAGCAGCCACAAGTGTTCAGTGCAAAAACTACAATCATAGCATAGGGCTACCTTCAGCAAACACTGCACAGGATGTCATTAGAAAAGAGAAGACAGAACATGGAATCACTTAAGCACCAGGACATCTAAAAACCCTCAAGGGCTGGCGATGTGCCTCCGTGGTAGAGTTCTTGCCTGGCATGCACAAGACTCTGGGTTCGATCTCTAGCGCTATGAAAACAAACACGTCCAAACATTTACACCAGGAGCCCAGAAGACTTCGATCACCCAGGCATCAGACACTTCGAGAATTCTGACCACGAATGTTTACTAAGGTCTTTCCACCTAATGCCCCTTGCCTTATTTCAAGCCCCACAGAAAAGCCCACTTCTCTTTGTTCCACACAGATGGCCTCTCTGCCTGTACCCAGACACAGTAAATGCCACACCATGTTGCCTTTATACAAGCGTGGAAGCCTGGGCTGATCTTGGCCTTGTGCCTTCCCTTACGCTTCCCTCTCTCCTTCCTTCCCTCCCTCCCTTCCTACTTTTTGAGACAGGGTCTTACTGTTCAGTTCAGGCCTTGGTGAGAGATGCATCCACTTGCCCAGACCCACGGAGTGAACTCTGAGAAGCCAAGGTTTCTGTGTAGAGATTTTATGTGACCCTGTGGTACTTACCTGTAGCTATGCTATCATGACAGTGGGCCATTCCATGATTCTTAAAAATGTCTTTCCCACGCATGTCCACATTTCTCAACAAAGGTTTTCTTACTAGTTTCTCTCTTCTTCAGTGTTCCATCTGCTTAGGGATATTTTAGATATGTGCTTGAAAAATGGACCCCTTAGGGCTGGGGATTTAGCTCATTGGCATAAGTGCCTGCCTGGCAAGCGCAAGGTCATGAGTTTGATCCCCAACCCCCTCCCCCAATGAAAAAGAAAGAAAAATGGACCCCTTTAAGCTTGTTTCCTACTTTTCCAATTCACTATGTAGCCCATAACGGCCTCAAGTTCTCTGTAATCCTCCTGCCTCGCCTTCCAAGTGCTGGGATTACAGGTATGCACCACAATGCCTTCAATGTCATCTGGAAAAATAAACAATAGTCTCACCACATATGACCAAAAGAAAAAAATACACAAAATCAAGCATAATAAATGATAAGAAATTTGGGGAATACAGAGTACATTTCAAAGAGCAAGAATTTGTTTTTGAAAATCAGAATTTAAGTGAAGTAAACTATAGGACTACCTTGAAAGCATCTTCAAAAACCTAAAAATGACCATACACAGGGCTCCAGTTTTCAGCTTCCTCCCTAGCGGGGCGGAAGTGAGCATCTCCATTGCCTCGGGAGGGCTTGGGTGGTTAGATGTTGAAGCAAGTAACCCAGAGCCAGGAACCTCTACCAGCTCAACAAGTATTTACTGCACATTTGCTACGTGCTAGGTACTTTCTGAACTTTGTCATTTTTTCTTTAGGAAACAAATATTTTTCCTACGTAGATACCTAAAATATATAGTGTTAGATCGTGAAAAATTCCCTAGTGCAAAAAACTAAAGATAAAAGGGGAGGTAGAGAGCTTATTGGTGAAGGCAAGTGCTGTTTGCAAGTTTACAGCAGTACCAAGACAATGCCCCAATGTCAGGGCACAATTATATGATCATTAAAGGTACAGTTATAGAATAACAAGTTAAAATCAAATAGTAGCCTCTATTTCCCTGATGTCTATCACATCAACACATTGCTTGACTGTCTGGGTCCAGCTGCTTTTCATCTGACAATGAGCCGGGTCAATCTACTCTCAGCATCTGTTTTTCTTAAGAAAACACATTGTTGAAGCTGGGGATTTAGTTCAGTGGCATAAGCACCTGCCTAGCAAGCACGAGGTTGTGAGTTCGACCCCAGTACCAAAAAAAAAAAAAAAAAAAAAAAGAGTATATATTACTTCTAACTGGCTTCAAGGACTTTGATTGGCTTGAAGTAACCCAGTCAAAGAGACTTTTCAACTCGGCTTGCTCTGCTGAACCCCCTCCTTTCATCCCAGGATGTTCCTATATAATGATAAACAATTCCTTTTAAACAAATATATTTAGCTTTCCTGACAATATATGACTTAATTCAATGCACATAACAATCATGCAACGCCTTGTACTTCCTGCCTGTAAACTATATTTAAACTAGACTCAAAGCTGCCTCTTCGCTAGTGATTTGGACTTGGTGCCATTAACCCTTTAGTGTAGTAACAGTAGCCTTCTAGATTCCACGGTGCAGTCTTCCATTCAGTTTGATACTGGTTTTTCGGCAACACCAAGAGAAGGTGACATCGCCCTAAAGGCCAGACTGCGCCAAGTTGATACCTCAGAGCTACATCCTGCCATCCAGGAGGAAGGTCATGTACAAAGGCCCTGTGGCAAGAATCTGCCACAATCTTCAAGGTCTTACAGGCAGAAAAGAAATTCATTTTTAAAAATGAGTTGTTTGTCCCCAGCCTTTCCTCTATTTTTTTTTCCTTTGAGGTAGGGGTCTTGCTGTATCACTCAGACTGGGCTCGGAAGTGAGTTTCTCCCGCCTCTCTCCCAAGGTCTGGGACCACAGGCTGTGTCACCGCGCCTGTGGAGTAAAGAATTCCTATTTTACCAAGCACAAAAATATCAGATTCTTGAAAAGCTCCGTAAGAGCGCCTCAACTGTAAAATGGGGACACTACATTTACCAAGAGAACCAAGAAGTAGCAGGAGCTAAGGAGAGGAAATCGTCGTTTCCACTCGGATTCCATCTTCAGGGCAACTTGCAGGCTTCAAGCGAGTCCGAAGCCAGCCTTTTACATATCGGGTACCTCAATGCTGTGCTTCCGCTTTCCAGCGAAAGACTGGTCTCGGCGCCCCTCAAGAGCCTCCAAAACCTACAGTTTAAGGGGCGATCGTCAGCTCTGCTGTGCACCGCCCTTACATTAGCTTTGCCAAGTACAACGCCCACCCCCACGGCCCCACGCGCCGCTGAGCCTTCTGGGAGTTGTAGTTCCGGTTCGCCCAGAGCAACGCACTTCCGGGTTCGTCCAGAAGCACAGCCATTGTCCCGCGTTGGGACGCTGGGAATCGTTGCACACCGCAGCCTTTTGAAGTTAACCCCAAGGGATCTTGCGGATGCTGACGCTAACGGAGAGGACCAGTCTAGTTTGTCCCTAGTCTGACGGGCTGCAGAATCGAGGCACGGGGCTGCTTAACCCGAGCACGTTCTTCCTCAGAGGCGTGCCGGATCCCGAGCAGGAACAGGACAGGCCTGCACTGCCAGCGCTTGGACGCCTAGGTTGGTAGGGGGCGGTGCAGCAGTGGATGTGCAGTGTGCGCATGCGCAGGATGTTAATCGGCACCTAGAAGCTGTAGGTGTATGGGTGGGCGTTCCGGCGCCTTATCTCTGGATGTGTTCAGCCTCGCATTTGGAGGCTGGTGAAGGTTCGGAGGCAATTGCTACTGTGCCTGGCGCGCATGCGCAGATACATGGGCAAGTGGTTCGCTGGTCTGGCATCTGAGGATGACTATCTTGCTGGAAGACAGTCGGTGCACGGATATAGGGGAGGACCTGGGACGCACCCTTCTTCAGTGCTTTATCTATATAGTGAAGGGCTCGAGGATGCTCAGGCTTTGAAGTGCTCAATTGCAGATTTCTGTTCTGGAAGGAGGGCTTGTGTCACTCTCATAATCCTTTTTTTTTTTTTTTTTTTTTTGTGGGGAAGTGTACTGGGAATCGAACTCAGGACCTTGGGCTTGCCAGGCAGGCGCTGTGCCACTGAGCTATATCTCCAGCACGCACTGTACTCATAAGCAGTGATTTGGGTTGAAAACACCAGGTGAGTTTCTGAGCATTTGACTCAAAGACTCTGGAAGGCGCTACTTTTCTCTAGGGCCTAGGAACTCTACTTGTGTAGAGACAAGGTTGGAGTAGCAGGTTCTTACCCCAGGAGCTGCAATGTTACTTCAACAGATTCTCGGTGGGATTCTCCATAGCCAGCAAAGTTCCAGGTTCTAGATAGCATGTTCCCTGCACGTGTTCTGAGTAGGAGTCAGGAACGTGGGCTGACAATCCTGGGCTCCACGTAAGGCAGTGCAGCATTCTAGGGCATTCGGGATTGACAGTGAAGCTGAGTTGGAAGTAAAGAATCAGCCTAGGAAGGACTGAGTTTAAGCAGTTGTGTCAGGTTGACAGCTCTGTGGGGGAGGAAGCAGGATGCTAGTAGCATCATTATGAGTAGGTGTTCTGGGACCTTCGCTTAGGCTACCCAGCTTACAGGCATGAGAATGCCCAGGGTGGTAGAGGGACAGTGTGGGCCGCAGATCTGGACGTGAAAGGGGCTGACTGCATAACCCCTGGGTTGTCATGGCGGGCAGAAGGAACAGGAAGGGCCTGATTCCCATGGATGCAGCACCAACATGGGTTTGAGAACTCCAAGGTGGCAAGTGCCCGACCTGGGACAGATTCTGGAGCTCTATGCTCAGGCTACTGCTTAGGTGTTCTGGCATTTATTAGTGAAGCAGGTGGTCCCAGGATCTGCGTGGAGGCTTGTGGGTTCCTGAGGTGTCCAGTGGCATTGGCCAAGTGTGCAGATTCTCATCTTAGGAGCGGGAGCTGCACAGAATCCCCTGGTGAAGAACTCGGGCCCTGGATGCAGATTCTGGGTGTGAACCTGTCCTACACGTGGGTGGGGGTGCCATGGGAGGAGGGGGTGGGGCACTGTGCAGGGCTGCTGGAGTGGAAGGCCTGGGAGCCCCAGTGTGGATCTGCGGGCTCTGGTCTTAGGAGGCACAGGGCTGCTCGGCTGCAGCCTGCACATGCGCTGTGGGAAGGCACGAGCAGTCTCCTGAGCTGGTGCTGCCTAGGGATGCCTGGGTGGATGGAGGGAGCTGCTGTGGGTTTGGGGCTGCAGAGGGGTGGGCTCCCTCTGTGCACAGAAATAGGTGGTTTGGGTGGGAAGCAGGAGGTTAGAGATGGATTTTAAGAGAGTGCTTGTGTCTTTGTGCAGATATAGCCCTGATCACAATCTAACAGTGTGCCCATTTTAGTGGAAGGACAGGATCTCTCAGAGCCAGAGGTGCCCAGGAAGGCATTAGGGCAGGAGTCAAGTGCAGCTTGAGTTGGGACTTGAGGAAGCCGGGAGGAATGGGGCTGGGTGCAGGCGCAGGGCAGAACTGCCTTGGGAACACAAGCTGCACTGCCTGAGTGAGAATCTGGAGGGAAAGAACAGCAGGTAAGGCCGGGAAATGGTGTGCAGGAGGTGGCGTAGATGTTCCTCCGTCTCAGATAAAAAGACATCTAATTAGTACAAAAACAGCTGAGTTACTGAAGTGCACGTTCTGTGCCGGAGAGGGGCTGCCCTTGGCTGGCTGTGCTGGTGTCTGCCACAGTCCCCAGTCCTGTGCAGACTCTGCTGCACTCAGAGGGATGGAGGAAGCAGGTCAGAGACACACATCAGGAGCCCAGGAGGGAGTTGGGATGGGAATTTCAGCCAGTGACTGCCATGTCTGGTTGAAACTCTGGAGGAAGATGGTGGGGGATAAGAAAACAAGAGTGAAGAGTCTGGAAGCTGAGGTCAGCTGGAGCCCTCTCTCCAGATGCAGAAAGGAACTGCTCAGCATCACAGTGCATTTACACACTCAGCATATGAATAAGTTTGTGGAGAGTTTAAGGGGCGGATAGAATCAGGACAGGAAGAAAATCTAATCTATCTGCAGAACAGCAAGTCTTGGTGGCTTCACGGGGACAAGAGAAGACTATTTCTCAAGTGAAGGTCAATTCACAGTGTGCCTCAGCTCCCTGAGCTCTGCATGCTTCTCAGGGGCTGTGCCAAACTCTTTAAGAGGCAGTGGCCCTGTCATGGATACCCGAGGTACAGACAGGTTCGCTTCCCACCAGTGATAATCTGGCAAGATGGTGGAGGGACCTGGGCCTGGCTGCAGAGAAGCCACCTGCCCTGGGCTGCTAGAGGACAGGGCAGGCTGTTGGAAGGGCAAGACCAGTGCTCCATGCTGTCAGTTCCTGGGAGGGGTGGGGCTGGCGAGCTTCATGCAGCTGGTCGGGGGTGGTTGGGGGTGTGATTCTGGGCCATCAGTGCTGGAGCCGTGCTGCTGGCCCTGGGGAGATATGCTGCCTTGGAGTTGCAGTTTAGGGATGGGACAGATGGGTGCACACTACAGGATCCTCCATGGGCTGGGCGTTTGTGGTGGATTCCAAGACCCAGTGGACTAGGGGAGGAAGTAGTGCTGCAGATTTTAGTGGTAGGCAGAAGACCACATTGGGGCATGAGGTGGCTTGCAGGTGGTTGTGAAGGAGCAGGGTTGGAGCTGCCAGATCTTGGGCTAAGGGAAGGACTCCTGATACATGCATAGGTGTATGGGCGGAAACCTCTAGAGGTGCTCTTGCCATGGGTATTCATCCTGGGATCAAAGGCTGATTCAGGGTCAGGTTGGTGCAGGGACGGATGGACTCGTGGAGAAAGCTGTGATCCTGTTCTCAGTGTGTCCTCTCCCTACAGCTCAGCACCTGCCAAGCCTGGAGGGGAGCATGGAGATACCGGATGAGAAGCCCCCAGGGCCCTTGAAGGCCCACGAGCAGGTGAGTAGAGCCACTCCCCGAGAGCCCTGGGGTTTCTCCCACCAGGCCCACTGCTTAGACTCTGAAGTCTCTGCAGATTCCTAGGGGCTTTCGTCCCTCATGCTTGCAGACTTTTAATGTGTCCACTCTGAGTCTCCGCTGCAGTTCTTCACCTTTGTAATAGAGACAATTCTTTCCAGGAGCAACTTGGGCCCTTGAGTTAAAAGCTCTTGCAGTTGACAGCTTTGTTGGAGAATGCACAGGTGGACATACCTAACTGTGCAATGGATTGGGGATAGTTCAGTGAATTATGTATGGTACACACTGCGGCTTCTGCATCAAAACTGATATGATGCGCTTGTGTGTGCTCATGGGCAGAAAAAGGTACTGACTTATGTTAAGTAAAAGAAATGTTTTTCATATAGAAAATATGTTAGAGACCATAAATATACTTGGAAACAATGCTTACTTGTCAGTTATAAGGGAGTTTTAAGCTTAATTAATTAATTAATTAATTTTGGTACTGGGGATCAAACTCACGACCACCTCACACTGACAGAGCAAGTGCTTTGAGCTACGGAGCTAAATCCTCAGCCCTAATTTAAATTTCTTAATTTTAGGATTAAAAATAAATCATGGAAATCATTTTCTTACAGCAGATATTCTTTGGAGACAGTTAGTGTCTTGAAAATATTAAGCTTGACTGTCCCTTCCTGAACGCTCTAGTCCTGACAGCCTTCATAGCCACCTGCAGTTGTAGAGGATGTCTTGGTGTCAGTGACAAGCAGGGTAAGGGCGATGGCCATGGTGACATCCTGTTACAGGGGAGGAGCCCAGGTGGAGTCAGGGAGTCGTCTATCCAGGGAGCAGCCTGGAGTGGGTGTTGGAGCCCACTAGAGGTCAGGACAGTCTGGACAAGGTGGTGGCTGGGTGTGGAGAGGCAGCGCCCACCTGGGGTGAGGCTGGTGAGCCTATGAGGAGGGGGATGTGAGGTGGAGCCACGGCCAGCGGGGGAGCAGGGTGTCCACAGAGGGGATGCTCCCTGGGGACAGTGGAGTCCTCATGTGGTGAGCTGGGGTCCTCGCTGGGGTTTAGAGCAGGGGTGCAGCCTGGCTGGAGTGTGGAGCTAGAGGAGTTTGAGAAGGAAGTCTGCACAGGGTTTCAGAACTTGGCAGGACATGGAGGACATCCATGCAGTGGCACAGTCCAAGCCCAGATGGCACAAGCAGTGAGTCCACCAGGGTGGAGGGGGCAGGGGGGATGCCCTGGCCTGGGGGGTTCGAATCCAAGCAGGGTGACAAGTGTGCCTCAGCAGAGAGTGGCCTCCTGTGGTGGCAGGACAGGTGTGAGTGGGAGAGGGCAGGAGGCAGGGGACTGTACAGGATCCCCCACAAAGCCACTCAGACACAGAGCAGGAGAAAAGGGTGTCATTATTGCCAGCGTCCCTTGGGTGATTGGGTCCACCTGAGAGCTCCTGTGGGGTCTTGTTTTATACCGTTCTCGTTTTATGGGGTGACCTTTATGGGTAGCTGTGTCAGGTGGGGTTACCAAATCAGAAATGAAACAGCAGTTGGGGGGAGGGGACAGAGAACCTGGGGAAGGGAGTGCGGAGGTCCTGGCAGAACTTTTCAAGTTGGTTATGCCCTGCTGACGTTAGATTACAGCTGTACCCTACGTAGCTGAGGTCATAACCGTGCCTTTTTTCAGGGAGCCTAGCTGTGCAGTTAACCCACCATTGCCCACCTCAGAAGGTGGTTTCCTCTCTCAGCAGGGGGAGTGGACATGGAGTGCCCACATCGAGGGCAGCAGGAGAGCCTGCCGGAGCAGGGAGGTACAGACGGAAAAAGAGTGTGCCAGGGTCCACTCGATGGGGACCCTTGTGAACTGCAGGGACTAATGTGGGCTCATGATTTTCAGGATGCGTGGGTGTAGAAACGGGAGAAGCGTGCTTGTGTGTGCACATTTTAGACTGAAAGCATAACATCTTAATCAAAACTATTAGCGAGATGTGATTTGGTATGACAATCAGTACTGTATTTTATTTTATTTTATTTATTTATTTTGGTGCCGGGAATTGAACTCACAATCTTGGGCATGCCAGACAAGCGCTTATGCCACTGAGCTAAATCCCCAGCCCTCAGTACTGTATTTTAAACTAGTGACTTTTGGGTATTTTCTGAGACTCTGAATGACCTTTTGACTTTCTCTGTCAGATGTTGAATCAGGCATCTCTTCATTACATTACTTCTGTCAGGGTTATTGATCGCATCTTGTGTAAAGTGCTAGGAGAAAGGCAAATGGCCTGCTCACATGTCTTGGTTCATACAGTCGGAGAATGTGCTTCGTATGTTTTCCAAGGGCACGCAGCAAAAGCAGAAGCATAGTGCTAGTTTTCAGTTATTGTATGCCTACAAGTTAGCAGTTTAAAACAACTTATTTGTATATTTATTTGTGTGTGTATGTGTTGGGGTCCTTTGCACTAAGCTGTGTCCCCAGTCCTCTGCTACATTTTTATTTTGAGACAGGATGTCACTACTAAGCTGCATCCTGCTGCCTCGGCCTCCCAGAGCGCTGGGGTTATTGGCATGAGTCACCATATTATAGGCAGCTGAGTTACACAGAAATTAATTTATAGCCAGAGAGGGACTTGACTCTCAAAGAAGTCAGCACACAGATAAAGACATTAAAATTGTGGTTGGAGGGTTCTGAAGAAGGCCAGACCTCAGAAAGAAATGCACTGCATGTAGGCCGTGCCCATGTTTCCCTAAGGGAAAACAAGACTTTGAGATTATTTTGTAGTCAGAACCCCAGTAAGTCCAGATAGGTATCAGTTGCCCAAATGGGTGGCCAGAACATGCAGACACAACCCTCCTGAAAAAAGTCCCTTCCTTTTGTTCTTTCCACAGATCTTTGCTGTGTGACTTACTTTCCTGTTGGCTCAGTATTAGCTAAGCAGCTGTACTATAATCCTATAGGGTGATGGTAATTTGATTCATGTTGTGCCCACATTGTGACCTTGCTGTGTAAATTACCCCTGACAAAAGGCTTTTTTTTGGCTATTTCATTTGAAACCCTTCTTGGAAATCCAGGTGCTAGTCTCTCATATTTTTTTTTTTTTCTTATTTCCAGTAGAATTCTCCTAACTTTTCCTTTGGGGCTCGCAGTTTTCTCCCTCAGTGTTGTGGGACCATGCGCTGAGAACATCTGACATCTAGCAGGTTGGGGGTTCTATTTCTCCTGTGTCAACCACACCTGGCTCCCATGTTTATTTTGTCACATAGTCTCTTAAGGCCAGGAAGCAGGAGTAGCTTAGCCGGGCATCTCTGGAGCTCAGGACCCCTGATAAGGCTGCAGTCAAGTTGCTGGCTGGGGCTGCTGTCTTCTGACGGCCTGGCACAGTGGGCGTTCCGCTTGCAAACTTATTCATGTTGTTCATGTCTGTGAGAGGCCTCAGACCCATGTCCCCCTGGCCTCCCTCCAGATAGCTCACTCTGCAGCAGCTGATTTCTACCAGATACAAGGCAGGAGAGCGATCTTAGCAGGCTGCCACACTTCTCAACATTGAATGGCCTCTAGTGCATAATAACGATTGTCAGAGATGCGTGGGTACTTGGTATGAATTGTATGGATATTTTCCATGGAGTAGGATCAGGGAGCCTCAGTCTCGATTTAAATGAGAGCTATGAGCCCAGAGAACCAATATGAGGCCAGGTAAGAATCATTTTGGAATTTTATTCCTGCTTAATACCTGCTGAGTTAGAATCATAAGGCCTTCAGTGTTTGGCATTTTGAAAAACTGATCTAAGCCATTCTAAAAGCAAAAACCAATGAACTAAAACAGTATATAATAATTTTGAAGTACAAGCTAGCGTTTATAAATTTCTCTCTTAATAATTCTGGCTCTTTCTTTCTGAAGTCTTGGGGACTGAATCCAGGGCTTTTTCAGCCTTGAGCTGCGTCCTAAGCCCTGCTATTATTTATTTTTATCTGGAGATGGGGTCTTGTTGCGAGGTTGTCCAGGCTGGGGTCAAACTTGCCTCAGCCTCCCAGAGTGCTGGGATTACAGGTGTGCACCACTGTGCCTGGCTCCAGGTAAGTTTTTCTTTCTTGAGTAGCTTTTCTGATTTTCCAGGTTAGTTTTTTTTTTCTTTTTTTTGCGGTACCGGGGACTGAACTCATGACCTTGCGCTTGCCAGGCAGGTGCGTACGCTGCTGAGCTAAATCCCCAGCCCTTGTTTTCATTTTTCATGTTTCACTTTCAGCTTGTTTTTGTAGTACTGGAGATTGAACATGGGTGTTCTACCACTGAGTCATGGCCACATACATACCCAGCCCTTTCTATTTCTTTATTTTTTGAGACAAAGTCTCATCAATGGCCCAGGCTGACCTCCAACTTTTGATTTTCCTACCTCTGTTGTCTCCTGAGTAGCTGGGATTATAAGTGTGTACCACCATAACCAGCTATATTTATTATTATTATTATTATTATTGTTGTTGTTATTACTACTAATACTGTATTACTGGATGAATTAACTTCTAGCCATGAAACTGTTAAGAGTTCAACTTCAATCACTTCTGAAGCAAGAGAAGACATAGTTTTTATTGTTCCATATTTGGAATGTGAATTTTTTGGTACTGGGAACTGAACTCATGACTTCGTGCTTGCCAGGCAGGAGCTATATCCCTGGGGATCAAACTCATGACCTCACACTTGCCAGGCAGGTGCTTATGCCACTGAGCTAAATTCCTAGCCCTATCCTTGATTTCTTTTTGAGGTTGTTTCTATGATGTGTTTAGGCTGAGTCCATTAGCAGTTTAGGGTAAAAGTGTGGCTCCCTTGAATCATCTGTAATTTTGGTACTATTTTGACATAGCATTTTTGCTTGTGCTTTGGTGTTTCTCACACTAACTTTAAACAGTTAAGACCTCTGGGGCTGTGCTTCTGCTATGCAGACAGCTCGGTGCCTCTTTCTTTGGGCCTTCCTAATTTTGCATCTTTTCCAGCACTTTGACCACTTGGTCAACTTTAGAGCCATCCAGTCAATGTACGGAGGGAGGTGTTTTTACAGGTGGAGAAATCTTTTCCTGCCTTTATACAAACCAAAAGTGAGTGAGAAAGTGCCTTGGTTACTTTTCTCTCGTTGCTGAGACAAAATACCTGATGCCCAAAATTAGGGGAAGAAAAGTTCATTTAGCTTACAGTTTTTGGAAGTTTCAGTCCATGTTCCAAGGCAGGGTGGCGTGGCTAAGGGGCAGCTGTTCATGGCAGCTGCAAGCGACAAGAGGGAACAGGGTAAAAAAGGCAAAAAGGGGAAAGCCCGCTCCTTCCCCCCTTATATTGTACACCGGCTACCTGCCCCGGGCAGTTGCAGCACTCTCAACACCGAAACCAGCACTAGACACCAAACCAATCACAAGTGCTAGGCTCAGCCGACTCCGTGACTGCATGAGGCTTGGGGGCATCCAAACAGAAACCGTTACAGAAAGTGAGAATCTGCTGCTTATATGTTCTTGGTCATTTTTTCCTTCTTGATTGAGCTGCATCCCAAGCCCTGCTTGCCTGTATTCCTTTGTCCATTTTTGTTTTGAAGTTTCCATTTTCTTACTGATTTGAAGAAGTCTTACTAGCATACATCTTTATTGACAAGTCCTTTGTTGCTGATGCTTTCTGTTAAATATTTTTGAAGTTCACTTCTTGATCTTTCCTTTATGAGTCTGGTTTTGTTTGCTGTAGTCCATTTTATTAGCTTCCAGTTTTGTGAGGCAGGAATTTAGCAGGATCCGCTGGACTGTTCTTTTCTACATATAGTACCTGGGGTCACTTCAGCTGGATTGAGCTGGCTGTGGGGCCAGCCTGGAGCTCCACAAAGGCTTCCTGTCCATGTCTAGGGCCTCAACATTCCCCAAAGTGCCTCCTGTCTTTCTCCGTACGGTCGTCTTGAACATAAGCAATGACAGGGATCCCAAGGTTTGCAGGCGAGATGTCAAACAGCTGCTATGTCAAATTCTAGCTGACTCACAATGGGAGTTTGGAGCTATGACTCACTTCCCTAATTTTTTCCCTTCTTTCATCCGTTCTGCCTTTTCAGGACTCTTTCCTTCCTCAAGAGATTATCATCAAGGTGGAGGGAGAAGATGCTGGGTCACTAGCCACCCCATCGCAGGTGAGTTGGGCAGGGCATCTTTCTTTTCATTGAAAAATGTGTGTGACTGGTCTGTCACCGAAGCCAGGAGAGCTTGGAAGTGAGCAGGAAGCAGGGGAATGGAGACGAGCCTGGGGAGATTTCCAAGAGGCTTGATTATTGTTTGAAAGATCAAAAGAGGAAGAGCTTCAAGGATGTTTGAGATTAAAGACTATTTTCTTAAAGGATTGAAAAGATTTGACTCTAAGTGATGATAGGAAGGAATTAATGAAGAAAATGTAGTTAGTCATAAACAGAGGAAGTAAAACTGATTTTGATTGGAACCAGAACAAGTCCAGGATATCTGTGAATAAACCGCCTCTCTGGGGAACGAGTCCTGCCGGAAGAACGGAGGTGGGGAGACGTGAAGTCGAGGTTGGTTTTACTCTGTGAACGATCAGAACGATCGGGGTGAGGCTGGGAGCTGGAGCGGGGAGATGCTTGGCAAGAGTGGGAAAGGCACGCAGTTTGTCCTCACAGGTGTCAGAGGTGCTGGGCGGTCTGCAGGGATCCTTAGAAGACAGTGATGTTTAATGTCTAATATTCTGTTCAGCTCACTGTACCTTTCTTCTCAGTGGCATTCTGTAACCCACTTTGTAGAAAGCAGAGTGATGTTCAAACTCACTCTGTTTATAATTTGCCATGTGCGTTCAAAAATATTTAACAGAAAGCTCTAAATGAAGGTAATATTTGAAAGAGAATTTTTAATTAATGAAGTCTGTTGGTACATTTTAAGTAAACATAATGATTGCATCTGTCATAGGGAATTTGTACCTGTACGTGCCAATTCTTTTTTCCCTACCCTCCCTTCAACACCTCTTCTCTTCCTTACAAAAGCTCTGTTTCTATTTTTTCCCTTTTTTCTCATTTTTTTCCTTTTCATTTCTTTCCTTTCCCCCTTTTAGTTCCTGGGCCCATTTGAATATTTGCTTCCTGTTTCACAATGTCTATTATAAATTTGGGCAATATTTACAGTTTTGGTTGCTCACAACAGAGAAACAATGTGGTGTTTACACATGTGTCTAATTTATTTCTCTTAGAATATGATCTCAAAAAAAAGAGAAAATGGTCTGAAGGTGTATCCATTTACCTAGAAATGGCTTGAGTTTACCCTTTTTATGACTGACTAGTACTCCATTGTATTAAAAACCACATCTTCTTTATCCATTCATCAGTTAATAGAGAGCAGCTTCCAACATTGGCAGTTACAAACTGTGCTGCTATAAACATGGATGCACATATATCACTGTGGTATGATGCTTTTAATTCTTCTGGGAAAATATCAAGCAGAGAAATAGGTGGATTAATGGGGGCCCCTAGTCCTAGATTTTTGAGGGAATCTCCATGTTGATTTTTCACAGTAGTTGCACCAGTCTACACACCCACCAGCAGTCTAGAAGCATTCCTTTTTCCCCACAGACCCACCAGCATTTGTTATTGGTTGATTTCTTTTTTTTAGCTAGTGTAAGCACTTTTTGTCAAAAGGATTTTTTTTTTTTTTGTACCAGGGATCAAACTCACGACCTTGTGCTTAGCAGGCAAGCGCTTACACCACGGAGCTAAATCCCCAGCCCTTATTGGTTGATTTCTTGATAACACTTATTCTTTCTGGAATGAGATGGAGTTTCAGCAATGTATTAATTTGCATCTCTTGAATGACCAGTGATGTTGAACATTTTTATATATATTTATTTGCCATTTGTACTTCTTCATCTGAGAATTGTCTATACATTTCAGATGCCCATTTTTGGATTGAATCTTTTAAGTTTGGGAGGTCTGATTATTTTGAATTCTTTATATATTCTAGATAGTAGTCCTTTGAGGAACAGCTGGCAAAATTTTTTTTTCCCATACTGAGTTTTCTCTTCATGCTCTTGGTGGCTCTCTTGCTATACAAAAGTTTTTTTTTTAATAAGATACCAGTAATAGGTTCTTTCTGATAGTTCCTGTGCAATTGAGGTTTTGTTCATAAAGTATTGGTAAATAGATTTGTATTTGTTGCATATATATTTATGGTCATTATCTCTTCCTCTTGGATTATTCCCTTTACAAGGATGTAGTGACCTTCTTTGTCTCTTTTAATCAATCTTGCCTTGAAATCCACTTTGTCTGCAGATTGAATAGCTACCTTTGCTTTTTTCTGGAATCCTGTGGCATAGAGTATAGTTTCCCATCCTTTGATTTTCAGCCTGTGTATTTCTTTTTGAATTAAATATGTCTCTTGTAATTAGCATATTGTTGGGTATTGCTTCTTAGTCGATTCTGCCAGTCTGTTTCTTTTGATTAGTGAATTGAGACCATTAAAATTGATGGTTATAACTGATACATATTAGTTTATCCTTGTCTTGTTATTTTCTTGTTGTTGGTTCCCTTTCTTCCTCCATCCCATGTAATTGCTTGTCTTGCCTGGTGGATTCACTCTTTCGGGGTTTGTGAAGTTGTAATCCTTATTAGCTCTTCCTAGAATGTCCTTCAGAACAGTTTGGAGTGCTGGTTTGGTGATCATGAATTTCTTCGGGTGCTCTTTGTCATCAAAATATCTTAGTTCCCGATCAATTTGGAAATGGAAGAGGAAAAGATTAGAAGCAAGGCTAGAGGACAAAGGAAGAGCCCACTAACTTTCCTTGTAGCTGAGATAAAATACCCAACACCTGAAGGACGAAAGGTTTATTTCAGCTCACAGTTTGTAGAGATCTCAGTCCTCAATGGCTGTCTTTAAGGCAGGGTGGCATGCCGAGGGGCAGGGCAGAGGAGAAATGGTCCACGGCACAGTGAGTTTATTAAATTATTAAAATAATTTAATAAACTCAAGCAGCAAGCAGCAAACCTCTCCCTCCTTTTAATCCCATCTAGGCTACCAGCCTTTTGGCTGGTACCACTCACACCCAGGTGAATCCTCTCATTCCAACCCCCAGATCTATGCTAAACCAACTTATCACGTGCTTTTAATTCCAGTATCACTTACCCTAATAAGCACGATACATCCAAGATCCAGCCACTTCCTAAAATCTACACCTATGAGTACATGAGACTTTGGGGGAACATCTGTATACAACCCTTAAGACATAGATTGGTAGAGGGCAATACTAGATACTTCCATAGCTTAGTGAACCCAATTTCTCCCTTTCTTCCTATCAAAGAAGCCACTAAAGAGGAGCAATCAGGTATCATTGGGGTGGGTGTTATCAGATGTATTGCTTGAAAAATAAAATGCTTCTTCACAGTGTAGGGTATGAACCCTCGGAGGAGGCTGCTGAAGGGCAGTCCCAGGAGCAGAGGGCCGGACCATCCATGTGATCTGATGATGGAGAGAGAACACAGTTGCTGACATTAATGGGAACTTAGGTTGCATCCCACCTACCAATCTTATGCACTGGTGTTCATTTCTCTTATTTGTTCTTCATTTGAGAAACAAAGCTGCTAATAATATTTCCTTACAGGAGCTTTGTGAGAAGTTAATGTGTGGTAATCTATGTGCCTGTGAGCTTGCTGCCTAAGACTACACTGCTTCCTAAAAGGTCTCGAGTGCATCTGTACAGTCAGTTATTTTTGTATTATTATGAGAAGAATCTACAAGTAGGTGTCACAGATGACAGAAGACAAGATAATATGGATGTTTGTAGCACAATGTGAATCCTAGGGGTGAGTCCTCCGTGGATGGGGTGGTTGGATTTGGAAGATTAGAAGGATACAGCGCCAAGAAGTGAGGTATCCTGGTTATTTTCCTGTTGCTGAAACACAATACCTGACATCCTCCACTTAAAGGAATCCTCCACTTCAGCCAGCACTGGCTGCCTCCAAGATAAAAAAACCCAGCAAGGGAGGGCGGCATAATGGGCATTTTGGACATGTGAGAGGAAGAAAAAATACCAGGGACAGAAGTCCAGAAAACTCAGCATCTGCGTATTGAAGGACTTTTTCACCTGGGTATGTGATGTGCCCTCTGTGATTCAGGTAAGAAGAGAGGACGTAAAATGAAATTTGCACCAGGACTATTGTGATGCATTAGAAATAATACTGTTGATTCATTCATTGAAATAATTTAATAAACTCAATATACTATATATTTGTCGATGTCACTCCCGGCCGGCAGGAAAGACACACGACAAGGTCTGGCGGTGGTCAGGCTTTTCTTTATTCTCTCCTTATACAGTCTGCCCCGAAGCCTCTACCGGTCCGCTCCCCGCGGCTCCTTTTGTGCTTCAGTCTCCCCCGAAGCCTCTACCGGTCCGCTCCCCGCGGCTCCCTCCGTGCTTCAGTCTCTCTCTCGGGGGTGGAGGCACTGGCTATATATAGGATTAATAGCTAGGCAGACTACCCTGTGAGGCGGGAACTTAGTGGGGTGATAAGAAACAGGTGCCACACAGGTGGGCTCGATGAGAGGGGTAATCTAGCTCAGGCTTTTGTACTTTCCCACAGGCCTCGCAATCAAGTCTGATGACTTGACAGTGCCACGGCTCCCAACATATATTTAACATTTAGTATACATTAGCAGTATGGTAGGCATTAGGATTATGATTGAAAACTCTAAATACCTTCTCCGTGCCCTCATGCATCATGGTCTTGTGACAGAGCTCCTGGTTTGCAGAGAAAGTATGGTGAGTCTTAGAATTGAATTCCGTGGAACTTTGAGAGTGATTGCAAAGGGACGGAGTGGAGGTGTTAATCTAGTCTGCTGCTGTTTAGTTGATATTTGAACAAGTTTGATGCCGCAAGGACCTGCATTAAACAGGGAAGGGAAGTGTGCGTTGAAAGGAAGCATGGATTAGAGGTTGAAAAAGAGTACCCTAAACATCAGTGTTCTACCTTGGTGGTGGTTTGTAAATTACATCTCCATATCCTGTTTTGGGCTCATTATGAAAAGCTTTAAGATTTGGGAGAAATTTATGAGTTTTGACTTAATAAAATGCACGCAGAGCTGCATTTAGCATCTAATTTAGTGGGATTCAGGACCAAGTATCCTGTGCATGAACCATGGTTTAGGAATACCTTGTCTATGTCTTGTCTTTAGTGGCAAGTGATGTTAAACTTCCCTGCTGTTTTCTGGTTTGGGACAAGGACTGGTCACCCTCAGCCCTTCCTTTTTGTGGTCGGAATTCCTGTCTTGGAAACAGGCTTTTTCTGCTTAGAGGAGGCAGGGCAGGAGACCTCATTTGTATGGCAGTAATGACAGTGATTGTCTCCTAGAAGGCTCTGCCTTGAAGCTGAGGGTGTATGGAAATAGAACGGTCAGCCAGAGTGTGGTGCTCACTTAGACAAAGTGAGCCTGAGCCCGGCCTGAACTAAATATCGAGACCCTGTCTCAAAAAGACAAAAAAGAAATGGCTGTGAACCTGCAGAGTGGGCTTTGTTAATAATGCCTGAGACACATGATGATGTATAAGCCTTAATGAAAATTAATATGTATAGGCACAGAGCATGGATTCAAAAGGAAAAGACACTTGGGTTGTGTACCTATGGTGACCATGTATCTGAAACAGAATTCTGAATTGTGAAAAGTTTTACCACATGTATGTCAACTGCCTTCATTCACACTTCTGTGTGTGTTTATTTGTGATTTGACAATTTTCTCCTTGTCTTTTAATGGTGGATATATTCCATTTCTATTTATTAGACACAGTCACACCCAACTAATTGAGTTCCTGACTAAACTATGATGTTATAAAAAAAAATCTACCAGCAGAGCTTACTAAATAAACCACAAGGCCGGCCATTATTAACATGATTGTTAGGTCTGAGAACCATGAAAGATTAAATGACAGCTAATGTGACCTTTATCCTGAACCCTTAGTCTTCAGATAACAATTCTATTTCCTTTGGGTGGAGTAGGGTGAGACAGGGTCTTGTTATATATTTTAGGCTGGCCTTGAACTTACTGTGTAGCGAGACTAACCTTGAACTCAAGGCAGTCTTCCTGCCTCAGCCTCCCAAATGCTGGGATTACAGGAGTGCACCACCATGACCAGCTTCATGGCCTGTTTTTATAAATAAAAGTTTTATTATAATGTAACCATGCCATTTGTTTACATGGCTTCTGTGACAGATTTCTTGTGATAGCAGGAGAGTTGAGTAGTTGTGACAGAGAATATAGGGACTGCAAAGCCTAAAATAGTTACTAACTGGCCTGTGACAGAAAAAATTTGCCCACTTTTTTTTTTTGTAGTTTATTTCTTGTGGATCTGGAAGGAATTCCTGAATGAGAATTCATCAGTGTAAAATTCACAATAAGATTTCCTTTAAGGTGGACAAGAGGGGAAACAATTTATATCAGTTCTTCTTTGGGGTTTTAAAAACAGGTCCACCATCAAAAATCTAAAGGCATCTGTACATCTTGACACTTTTGGACACTGTCAGGTCATCAGATCTTCCTACTTCTATGCGTCAAACCTTTTCTTTCTTGATAACCACTGGAATAAAATAATGCCTTGAGCATGAATATGTGTTCTGTTTTAGGAAGGAATAAACTTCAAAATTGTGACTGTGGACTTCACTCATGAGGATCAGGAGACTTGGACCCCAGACAGAGGTGTGACCCCGCCAGAGAACCACAGGGAACTGGTCTCTTGGGGTAAATTTACCATCCCCATAATGAGGGTGTTGCTATTGAAATGTTTTCACATCGCTATTAAGAATTGTGAAGTTTGGCAACCAGAATAATTTTGACCACATAGACCTTGTGAAGATTAATTTTGAGTTGTTAGGTAGAATAGCTAAAACTTCCTTGTCTTGAGCTTATTCAGTATTCATGGCTTCCGAAGGTCAAAAGCTAGACCAAATTCTGCAGTAATTTTTTTTGTCCCTGCCCCAAACACCAAAAGTCCATTATCCTTCTTCATAAGCTTTTCAAATTCGATCCAATTTCATAGTTGGAGAAAGATGGAAGCGTATAAAGAGAACTTGCCAGTGCTTGTGTCCAGTTGGGAACTAGACACTTACAGGGGTCTTTATAGGTATAAAAGGTTTGTTTGAATATCCCTAGAGGAAAATGCCACGTTTTTGTCACTACTTTTCCAGTTGTACACTTTATGGAATTTTCTAATAGCTACTCAATTTGTGGGAAAATCTTCATTCTCTCTCTCTGTTGAAATCACAGGAATGCATGAGGCCATATGAGACTATGAGTTATTTAGGGAACTGTGATAATTACCCCCTTTTCTTTCTTGGGCTTGTAAATGTAGTTTGTTCACATCTTGCTTACAGAGACTATTGTAGCAAGTTTCATGCCCTCTAAATTCTTAGAAATGCGGCCACTGATCTATTTTATTGAAAATGTGTCTAGCATCAATAAGGGTGGAAGGGTCCTTCTGTTTCTTTGCTTAGTATTACAAGATTGTGTTGCGATTCTGTAAATGCTGTATTCATGAACTTATTTCAGAATATGGAGCTACTTGGCATTCAGAATCTTGCTTATTCAAACAAAAATAAGATGGAAAAAGTTCCAGTCAAGTGCCTGTTACACTGTTGGGCTGCGGTGGTTCTGCCCTTCCTGCTCATTCCTTCCCTTCTACTTTCTCAGCCCAGGTTATATAACGCTATAGCTCAAAGCAGTTCCATGTATTTTTCATTCTTTCTTGTGAACTGTATTCCAATATGCTAGCTCTAACACGTTGTGTATATGAGGTATTATTTTGCTTTTTTCCAGACCTGGCAACAGCATTTGGAAGAAGAGAATCAACCCAAAAGGAGAGCAATTTTGATGAAGAACTCTCTCAGGCAGTAAAGATAGAAAAGTTAACACGAGATGATCCTTGGCTGTCTTCATGTGAAGAAGTTCAGGACTGTAAAGACCAGTTGGAAAAGCAAGGGAGACTTTCGCAGGAAACAGTGCTCACTCAAAGGAAAGCAGTTATTCATGAGAGAGTCTGCAAAAGTGATGACCTGGGGAAGAGTGTTGTTTGTTCCAGTCTTCTCTCGCTTCCCATGATACCCATTAAAAACCATTTTCATAAACATATGTCAGATGTTAAGAAGTTGCATCCTACTTCTCTTGTAAACAGTCTTCAGAAGTTTAGTGATGGTAACAAAGTATGTGACGATAATGAACGCGGAAAACTCCCTCAGGGCATACATCTGTTTCAGTTTACAAGAACTAAAAAAAAAGATAAATCTTATGAATTTAGTGATAGTATTAAGCCTTTTAGCCATGCCGTACCCATACATACAAATGAGAAAATTTATTCAGACAGTAAAACTTTTGACTTTAAGGAACGTGGGCAAGTTTTGAACCATGACATACCCCCTGATGAACAACAGAGAATTCCTCTTGAAGAGAGTCAGTATAAATATAGTAAAATATCTCAGAATTCGTCCATTGCTCAAAACATAAGAAATCAATCCGAGGAGAAACCTTTTGAATGTAATCAGTGTGGGAAGTTCTTTAGCTGGAGCTCACATCTTGTTGCACATCAGAGAACACATACAGGGGAAAAACCTTATGAATGTAATGAATGTGGAAAATCCTTCAGTCGGAGCTCACACCTTGTTTCCCATCAGAGAACTCATACGGGAGAGAAACCATACAGATGTAATCAATGTGGGAAATCATTTAGCCAGAGCTATGTCCTTGTTGTGCACCAGAGAACGCACACTGGAGAGAAGCCTTATGAATGCAACCAGTGTGGAAAGTCATTCAGGCAGAGCTACAAGCTTATTGCACATCAAAGAACTCATACTGGTGAGAAACCCTATGAGTGCAATCAATGTGGGAAATCGTTTATCCAGAGTTACAAACTTATTGCACATCAAAGAATTCATACTGGAGAAAAACCTTATGAATGTAATCAATGTGGGAAATCTTTTAGTCAAAGTTATAAACTTGTTGCTCATCAGAGAACACACACTGGGGAAAAGCCCTTTGAATGTAATCAATGTGGAAAATCTTTCAGCTGGAGCTCTCAGCTGGTAGCACATCAAAGAACTCACACTGGAGAGAAACCATATGAGTGTAATGAGTGTGGGAAATCTTTCAACCGCAGCTCTCACCTTGTTATGCATCAGAGAACTCATACTGGAGAAAAACCCTATGAATGTGATCAGTGTGGGAAATCCTTCAGCCAGAGTTATGTTCTTGTTGTGCATCAGAGAACTCATACTGGAGAGAAGCCCTATGAATGCAGTCAATGTGGGAAATCCTTTAGGCAGAGTTCGTGCCTCACTCAACACCAGAGAACGCACACTGGAGAGAAACCATATGAATGTAATCAGTGTGGAAAGACATTCAGCTTGAGTGCTCGACTGATAGTACATCAAAGAACTCACACTGGAGAGAAGCCCTTTACATGTACTCAGTGTGGGAAAGCTTTCATTAATAGCTCTAAGCTTCTCAGGCATCAGGCAACTCACAATGAAGAGAAACCACATGAAATAGCTAGTGTATAAATCCTCAACGCAGGATTGCTTTTACTTTTAATCTTTTTAGACATTCATTTGAATGGAGTGTGTGTTGTGTGACATTTAGGTAATGTATGTTGACAAACTTTTGGTAATCTGTTTGTTACTATGTATCTAGAAATTTATAAGAAAAGGGAAAAATCTATAAACTGCACATATTTAACTTAGTAGTTATACATGCCAGATCCAATTTGGCCTTACAAGCATTCCTGAAAAAGTAATAAATATAGGCAGTTTTCCTTGAAGAAAGCACTCAGTCTTGAGTTGGAGAGAAAACCAGGGAGGTGTAGATCTTTTCCCAAAAAGCACACAAAAGGTGACACTGCTGGGTTTGCTGGGGAGAAGATTGAAAGATTTTTGTGGTATTTAGAATTTAGACTGGAAAACAGTGCTACCTTGTATCATTCTACCACATGGTTTCCCCATTATTTAGTTTATAGTTTGCTTTTTAAAATAGCACTTTTCTGTTACTATAAATTGTGATTGTGTGAGAGAAAAAAGGAAAATGGTTACGATACAAGATGAAAAATGTAGGGGAAAATATAGAAATATTTTATAGAACTACTATATTTGTGTATGGGTGAAATTTGAAAGAGATTATGGGTGTATCTATTTGATATTTTTATTTATGTGAAGTGTTTTCAGAAATGTATGCGGTATTGCTATAATAAATGATATAATGAGTAAAAGTTAAATCCAAAAGGAAACTGTTTTCCATCTTGTTTAACTCGAGCAACCAGATTGCAAAGGTCACCCAGGTTTCCTTTTTTTTTGACACAGTGTCACACACTGTTGCTGAGGCTGGTCTTGAACTATGTATCCCAAGCTTGCTTTGAACTTGTAGTGACCCTCTTGCTTCATCCTTCTGAGTGCTAGGGTTACAAGTGTGCACACAATACCCAGCTTCACCCAGGAATTTCCATTTTGCTTAGCATGAGCTGATCATGCCTTGGGGCTTGGATTCTTAGGGGTATTACCTAGAGAAGTTCCTTAGAAATAGGTAACTAAAATTTAGACTATAAGGGTTCTGAGGAGGGAATGAGAATGCATGGATTATAGAGGATATGAGTGCTTACTTTAATATATTTAGGCATAAAGAAGCACTATTTTCAAGAAAAAATTTCTTCCCTGGTCTGCTGTTGTCTTTATTTCCTGTGATATGTTCCCTAATATGAGAGACTTGGGGGTATGCTATTCTGGCTAAGTATTTTTCACCTCAAGTTTGCAAGACGGTGTTTAGTGTGGCAAGCTTTTTAGCTTCTCTTTGATTTTTAAGATTTGGTTCACATGTCTTTGTGGTATTTTTTGCTAAGTCCTAAATTCTCATCCTGTGAATTATGATCCTAGAAAGATAATAAAAAATATGTTGAGTTTAACCGAAGACCAGAGAATAGAGGTATATCCTCTGGAGAAAAGAAGGAAAACTCAAAATGACTTCTGATAGAACTTTTGGTAAAATTCCATTCACTCAAGATTACCCAGAAGACTTTAAGAATAAAGCCCCTATAGTGTAGCACACTTGGCAGTGACAGAGTGTCTGGTGGAACAGTTGTTGGTGTCTGGAAAACAGTCCCACCCCTGCATCATCTCCTCCCAGCCCATCAGTGCACAGAGAAGTGGCAAGGGTTCCCCATACACTAGCTTTTGGAGGCAGCTTGAAATTGTGGAAAATGCCAGTTTAACAGTGGGATCTATGTAGACTTTCCCAATGTGATAGGTAAGATTGATATTGGTGCTTAGTATCAGTGGATGATTTTCACTGGACTCTTTGGATCTTTCTCTGAAGGCAAGGAATGAAGATTATACAAATGACTATGAAGTCAAATGGGCTAAAAATAGGGCTCTGAAGTTTTTAATATTTGGAAATGATTTTTATTCCTATGGAATTTCTTCCATAAATGTTGAAAATACTTCATTGAAAATGTGAAGTTTGTAAAATTGAAAAAACATATTTGGAAATGTCCAGTGTGTGTGTGTGTGTGTGTGTGTGTGTGTGTGTGTTTCTAGCTACCTTGCCAGGTTGATTATCAACATGTGTGCCACAAATGTATCTACTCCTGGGTAGTGATTTATGCTTGCCAAATGTTTTGAAATAAATAGATTTGCTAATAAAATTGCTAATTTCTTTCCTCTCTCTCTCTTGGTACTGGGAATTGAACTCAGGGCCTTGCTCTTGCCGGGCATGTGCTGTGCTGTGGAGCTACATTCCCAGCCCCCAAAGAGTTAATTTCTATCATATTCTCAGTATCTGCTCTTTGCAAAAAAAAAGAATAATTACTAGTCAACAAAAATAAGTAATTAAGATACCAGAAATATGTAATTAAACTTCTTAAAGTTTAGGATTAAAATGGGAACCAGTAAATTCATTTTAATGACATGTATGAATAGAGGTTTATAAATGTATCAGACATACATGCATGCACAGAGGTTGAGCATCCCTAATCCAAAAATCTGAAATCCCTAAATGCTCTAAAATCAAAAACTTTGAATGCTGACATGATTCGAGAAGTGGAAAATACCATACCTTAAGTTTTAAGGCAGGTGACAGTCAAAATACAGGCATGCTTAAAATAAGGTATAAAATCAATCTGCACGCTACATGTGTAAGATGTATATGAAACATAAATGAATTCTGTATTTAAACTTATGTCACATCTCTAAAATACTTAACAGATATCCAAATTTCCAAAACCTATAATATTCTCAAATTCAAAATACTTCTGGTCCTGTGTGTTTTGTTTATTTATTTATTGGTATCAGGTATTGAACTCACAACCTCATGCTTGCCAGGCAGGCCCTTACACCACTGGCTACCCCCCTTCATTTTAGAAAACGGTTACCCTCCCACAAAAGAAAAGAAAATGGTTATTTAAACTGTGTGTATGCATTTTATAGGCCAGATTGCTTTCACTGCACTCCAGTTAATTTAGAAATAAAACTAAACAAAATGTTTTTAATAACATTACTTAAAAAAATAGTCTAGAATCTCTTCATTGTAGGCTAAATCAGTACTAAATTTTGAAACTGGCTATAGGCCTAGGAATATAGCTCAATGTCACAGGGCCTGCCCGGCAAGGTTTTGAGTTTGATTCCCATACTTCCCACCAAATAAAAATAAAACTTGCTAGGGACCAGGTAGGTGATTCTGACCGTAAGTACTTCCTCTTGTTATATATTTTGCTTTTCCACATTTTCCTCCACCATGACTTGCTCTGAGAGGATAAAGTCTATGCTATTCCTACAAGGCATTTTGTGACAATCCTAAATTTTCTTTGGAAATAAATTTCTGAATTTTCTGTACCTTTCAAAAGTTTTGTGGGCATGTCATTACCTGACTTGGAAATTTATTTAAAATAAATAATAATGTAGATGTGATCATGAGTGGAATGTGCTGAAAAATTTTAGTATTGGAGGTTAGGTTTTAGAAGAACCAAACCTATGGAAGGCTAGGGAAAATTTTTTTTCTGATAAAACCCTAAGTTTGTATCTGTATTCTCTGATCATATTCTTCTATACTAGTTGTTTGGGGTTTCAATTATTGATGGAAATGAATACTCTCTGCTTGACTTATTACTTGTGTGTTTTGCTAGTCGAGAAGGCGTGGAGGTCTCTTTTTATAATCTCATGCTTTAATCAGCTGTTGATAGTTTTTCTTATCTAGACCTGCAAATAAAGACAGTCAGGTTTCTGATGTGTCCCCAAGAATTAGGCATCCCGTCACATGTGGTGCAGCCTCTGCCTTTGTGTGAGTGCCCAGTGTTCAATCAGGGATCTTATGTCCACATGAGGAGGAGATAGCAGAACACTGTGTTTGGGATATTGTTCTCTGTTAATTCTGGATAAGTTGAATTTTTAATGTAAAGGAAAACAAAAGTTTCTTGTTTTAAGTGAAACAATATTCATGACTTGGTGATTATGAAACTTTATAATGGGTCACAATTTTTTAAAAGTTTTAGTTAATATTTTTTTCTTTTCTTTTTTTAAATTTTATTTTAAAGAGGATAAAACAGAATAAAACCAAGCAAAACAAACTAGTGTAAGAGATACAGGACTCCAAAACATTACAAAATCAACAATAGTTACCATAATGCCTTTTGATGTCTTCAAAATACCTGCAGGTAACTTTGGACATAGTAAAAATCAAACAGAACAAAATACAATAGAAACAATAAACACAAAACAATGAAAGCAATAAAGGATTTCAAAACCAGCCAATAGTAAATCCAAAATTGCCACCATAATATATCTTGCTATCTTTGAGATACCTGCTCCTGCCATCAGATTAAATAAATGGAAAGAGAATAAAACCCAACCCAACCCAACAAAACAATGAAAATAATATAAGACCTGAAAACAAGACCATAGGGGATCAACAATGGCTAAAACCCCCAGGAGGTCCCCCCTAGATGCCACACTGCATACTATACTTTCTGAACCTATGATCAGACCACTGGCCCCAGATCTGCATAAACCTTAAAATTGTTTGGAAGTGGAGGCTGGGATTACAGCTACAGTTAAACTGCAAACAGTAGTATCAGTTTGTGCCCTGACAGGCCAACCAGCCCCTGCTGCACCTTATCCTGTGAGTCCATTAGTTGTGCGACAATGTGGGACCAGGGGTCTTTAGTCAGTAGCCTAAGACAGAAAAATAAATATGAGCTTGTAGTACCGTGTAGTCAACAGATAAAAACACCTTCAGAGACAGCTGGTTGGTGTCTGGTGACAGGGCCCATTGGGATAAGTAGAATTGCTGTCAACCTGGAAAGAACTCTCTGATCATCCAAAAAACATTAGTTATGGATTAAAAGAAACAAGAAGGTTTGTGAGTCTTTGGCCCATAGTCACATACAGTATTGAGAGCACTGAGCACTGAGCACTGAGCATGGTGGTGCACACCTGTAATCCCAGCACATGGAAGGCTGAGGCAGGAGGATTGTTGCAAGCTCAAGACCAGCCTAGGCTACAAAGTGAGCTCATCTTGTTCACGTCAGTTCTGTACTATGTTGTCTTGTGTTAGTTCTCTGTGTGTGAAGATATGGATAACTATTTGGAAGAAAACAAGAGACAATATGATAAATAGTGAAGATCTCTGATTGTCTTGCTTTGAAATTTATGTGCCTTACGTTGCTTTCTTATGTTCTGTTTTGTTGTGCTTAATTTTATCCTCTTTAAAATAAAAAACCTACCAAATTCAAATTATATGATGACTATAGAACTACTGTAGTTGTCTCTCTCATCTTGTTTGAGTGTGTTGGTTATAGGTTTTGAGGAATTGGTTCGTGTTATGTAGGTTGCTGAGTTTATGAGTGTGAATACTTTGCACAGTGTATTCCCTTACTGGCCCGTACATGGCTGCAGACTGTATAACAATGCTCCATTCCTGATTTTGGTGATTTGTGCCCTCTCTTAGGTATTGAATTTTTCAAGGACCCAGGTTTTAGTTTTGCTTTCTTGTTTTCCTGTTTCATTTATTTCTGTTCTTATTTTTATTTCCTACCTTCTTGTGTCTTTGAATACTGTTTGCTCTTTTCCAGTGTCTTGAGACAGAAACAAAGATGACCAATTGGAGGGTTTTTAAATGACTCATGAGGCAAAGTCCCTGCCTGGCAAGTACAAGGTCCTGAGTTTGATTCCCAGTACCAAACTAAATAAACGAACCAAGGACACACGATGAGGTCTGCTTGGTGAATTTTCCACAGACACTTGAATGTGTATACTGCTGGGACATATTGGAGACTCCAAGTAAGTGTGTTGAGGGTGTTGTTCCTACTGTAAGATGCTGCTAAATTCCTGTCTTTGCTAATATTCTGTCTAGTGGTTGTACTGCTGAGAGTGAGGTAATGAAATTCCTAACTTTACTTGTGGATTTTTCTATTTCTTCTTTTAGCTCTATCAGTGTTATTTAACAGATTTCAAAGCTTTATTTTTTGGTAATGTACATTTTATTTAAGGTTCTTTTTATTGTTATTAATGTTTGTTTTAATCCTAATCTACTTTATTTATGAATTTTAATATTTACATTGGATGTTTTCACAAATACACTAAGTAAAACTATAGCTAAAATGTAAATTCCCTCCCCTGATATATCAACAGCTACTCAACATTTACATAAGCAAAGAAATACGATCAATAATGAGGCAACATGTTCAGCATATCAAAGTGTTAAAAATTAAAGAAAATATCTATTTTTAGCTTTGGTAAATTTCAATGGGAAGTAATATATATCTGTCTTAGTACTCTCGTTTCTGAGACAAAATTTTTGACTCCCAAAGTTAAAGGAGAAAAGGTTTACTTAGGCTCAGAGTTGGCAGAGGTTTCACCCCATAACCGGCCAGCTGCAGGGCAGGGTGTCATGGCAGAGGGGCATTGCAGAGGAGAAACAGTTCATGGCAGGCAGAAGGCAGCAAAAGCAGCAAGCAACAATAAAAGATAGCAGCTCTGTTTCTGTCCCTTAAATCTATCCAGGATACACACCCTTAGGGCAGGGAGGAGTGACACCCAGCACGGGCTTTTCCATTACCCACACTCGGAACTATGCCGAACCAATCAGTGGGCCTAATCACATCCATAAGCACATCCATCTCACCTCAGCATCACACACTTAACCCAGCATTACATACTCTGCATCTACCCACCTCTGTAAAACCTCATCTATGACCACATGAGACTTTGGGGGGACACCTAGACACAAGCCACAGCATTATCTAAACCTACAGAATCCTAAGCAAACATTTGAAATTATTTCCTTATCTAGTGATATTATAAGCTATCCACAATGTAGGAAATGTTACGGTAAAACGGTTACCAAATATTATGGTACTATAGGGGCACCATAGTCACATAAGCCAGGAAATAAATCAAGATATTGCTTCTGGATGCTATGATTGCAGGACATTTTAAATTGGCATTTGGAAATTTAACTTTTACTTTACACCATACATGCATTACTTTAGAAATAAACAAGCATAATTTACACAGAAAACAGCAAGAGTATTTTAATCCCTTGGTGATGAGATAATAGATACGTTTGACAATACTGTTCTCATGTGTCCTGCTACGTGGATATGCCAGTATTGAGGTAATGAGTGTAGAGGTGCCCCGTGCTAAGTGCAGGAACAACTTGCC